AAAAAAAAAGTTATTTTTATTAAAATACTCCTTCTAAAAGAAGACAAAAAGCAGGAAAAAAAGGCAGATGGGACAAAAAGCAAGCAAATAGTAAGAAAGTAGATTAAAACTCTGACCTATCAAGTCACATTAAATGTATATGGCCTAGGGCTGGGGATTTAGCTCAGTGGTTCCACCGCTTGCCCCCGCAAGCACAAGGACCTGAGTTCGATCCCCGGTACCAAAAAAAAAAAATGTATATGGCCTAAACCCCATAATTAAAAGGCAGAGATTGTCAGAGTGTATAGAAAGACAAAGCCCAACTACATGCTGTCAAAAAGAAACTCAGTTTCTAAATAAAGACACAAATATGTTAAATGTAAAAGTACAAAAAAAGGGCTGGGGATTTAGCTCAGTGGCACTGCACCTGCCTCACAAGTGCAAGGTCTTGAGTTCGATCCCTGCTACCACAAAAAAAAAAAAGTCTGCTTTTTGAGAGGCTAATAACATTGACAGCTGGGTGTGGTGGCATATGCCTGCAATCCCAGCTCACTTTGAGTTTTGAGGCCAGCTTGAACTACATAGTAAGACTCTGTCTCAAAAAACCAAAAAAAATTTTTTTTAAAAATTGACAAACGGGGCCAGGGATTTAGCTCAGTAGTTTCATTTCCTGCTGTGCCAGTGCAAGGACCCGAGTTCAATCCCTGGTACTGGAAAAAAAAAAATTGACAAACCTCTAGCCAAGCTGATTAAGGAAAAGAGAAGATACAAATTATCTGGAATGAGAGAGATACTATCACAATTATCACAATTTTTTTTTTGGTACTGGGGATTGAACTCGGGTCCTTGCGCTTGCGCAGCAGGTGGCGAAACCACTGAGCTAAATCCCCGGCCCCCACAATGGTTTTTACAGAGAGTGAAAGGACAATAAAGGGCTGGATGCAGCTCAGTGATAAAACCCTTTCCTGGTATGCATGAGGCCCTAGGTTCTGCCCTCAGCACAGAAGGAAGGGAGGAAAGAGGAAGGGAAGGAGAAGAAGAAAGGAAGGAAACAAAGAAGGAAGAAATGAAGAAAGGGAGGGAAAGATAGAGAAAGGCACAAATAAGTAACATTAGGAATAAGAAAGGGATATAAAAGACAAGAGATTTTAAATTTTACATTATAGGAGAAACATTTATACACACATATACTAATAAATTAGAATGTCTAAATTAAATAAATTACTACTGAAACTGACTCAAAATTTTTAAAATTATGGACTAATCACCCTTGAAAAAAATTTGAAACATAAAATAATTATTCAGACCTAAAGAGAAAAGGAAAGACATCCAACTTACTTTACAAGACTAGCATACACTATTCCAAAAGCTGATTAGAAAACAATCCATACAAAAAAGCTAAAAGGCAATCTCATGCTTAAACTTCAAATTGCCAATGAACACAGAGCTATTAATAAATGTAGAATGATTAATTTCTTGGCTAATAATTTATTTAGGATTTTAATGTTAGCTAAATAAATTGATAGTATAATTATAATCAAATGAATTATGACCATATACGAATGGAAAGAAGAATGTTTCAATGCCAGAAAATCTTTTTTATTTTTCGCTTTTTTTTTTTTTTTGTGGTACTCAGGATTGAACTCAGGACCTTGTACTTGCAAGACAGCCTCAGTGCCAATGAGCTAAATCCTGGGCCCTTTCTTATTTTTATCTTTTTTGGTACTGGGGATTAAACCCAGGGGTATCCTAGTACTGAGCTACATCCCTAGCCATTTTTGTGAGACAAAGTCTCACTCAGTTGTCCAGGATGGCCTTGAACTTGCAATCCTCCTGCCTCAGTCTCCCCTCTAGCTGGTATTATAGGCATGTGCCACGAACCCCCACCTTGAAAATCTACCAAAGCAAATCATTCCATTAGCAGATTACAGAAAAACTCATCTTGAAAAATGCGAGATGGTCCAACTATTATGCAAAACAGTATGTAGATTTCTAAAGAAATTAAGAATAGGGCCTGGGATTTAGCTCAGTGGTTTTGCCACCTGCTGCATAAGCGCAAGGACCCAAGTTTGATCCCCGGTACCAAAAAAGAAAAAAAAAAAGAATAGAACTGGGCCGAGGATTTAGCTGAGTGGCATTTGACTGGCAAGTGCAAGGTCCTGAGTTGAATTCCCAGTACCGGGGGGCGGGGG